CACTTTTTCAAATTTTTGTTTTCTCACATGTCAGATGGGAATTGTGACATTTTATCAATTCAGTAAATATTTATTGAGCTCCTCCTGTGTGGCTCCTCAATTTTTGACACCCTTTCTAGTGAGACATAGGGTCTTTTTAATGAGACACTCTTTTTATTGGGCCATGTATACAGGCTCTCAGATTGCTTGACCACTAGCATAGGTAGAAGTGACACTGTACCAGTTTCCAGAACTGTTATCTTCCACTTCTTATTTCCTGGAACACTCACTCTTGGAATTCAACCACCATGCTATGAAGAAGCTCAAGCTGCCATGGAAAGGCCCACATTCAAAGGAACCAAGCCCCCAGTTCAAAGCCCTGGGCGAGCTCCCAACTGATAGCCAGTACCAACTTATCAGCCATGTGAGTGAGCATCTTGAAAGCAGACCCTTCAGCTTCCAGTCAGGCTATCACTGCTGATGCCACATAGAATACAGATGAGCTTTTATTTATATTACCCAGTTTTAACAATTAATTTATTTAATGTTATTTAAACTCTGTTCTTTAGAATAGAACTGTCTAAAGAAATATAATGTGAGCCACAGATATAATTTTGTATTTTCTAGTAGCCACATTAAAAAAGTAAAAAGAAAAAGGTGAAATTAATTTTAGAAATCTGCTTTAGCCCAATATGTCTTAAAATGTCATAATTTCAACATGCAATGAAGATAAAAGTTATTTATGAAGTATTTTACTTTTTTTCTTTTCCATTCTAAGTACTTGATATTTTGGGATGCATTTTATACTTACAGTCACATCTCAGTTCAGACTAGCTACATTCCAAATGCTTACTAGCCACATGTGGCTAGTGACTACTATGTTGGAAAATGCAATCTTGGAACGAAAGATTCGGAAGGCAAACTACTACGTCTCTGACTCTATTTTACAGAGAAGGAAATCAAGGCACAGAAGGAGGAAGTGACTTGTCCAGGGTCACGCACTGTCATGGGTTGAGTGGTGCCCCCCCACAAAAAAGATATGTCCGTGTCCTAATTCCTGGATCTTTTGAATGTTATCTTATTTGGAAAAAAGTTTCTTTGCAGATGTAATTAAGTTAAGGATTTTGAGATGAAGAGATCATCTTAGATTATTTGGCTGAGCCCTAAATCCAATGAATAACTTGTGTCCTTGTAAGAGATACAAAGAGGTGATTAAACAGAAGAGGGGAAGAGAGGCACAGAGAAGTTCATGTGAAGATGGGGGTAAAAAAGGGGGTGGTGTGGCCACAAGCCAAGGAATGCCATCAGCCACTGGAACCTGGAAGAGGCAAGGAAGGATTCTTCTCTGAAGCCTCCAGAGGGAGTGGGGCCCTGTAGACATCTTGATTTCAGCCTTTCGGCTTCCAGAATTGTGAAAGAATACATTTCCATTGTTTTTAGCCCACCTGGTTTGTTAAAATTCATTATGATACCCACAGGAAACTAATATACACAACAAGGTTGACGCTTGGACTTAAGAGATCTTGGACTCCATTCCTGGCCAGAGGAACCTGCCTTTCCATTGCCTCTGAAATCTTTCGAGTGGCCAGCATTCATTCCTTTATTAGGAGAGTGGACCATGCGGGGTTGTGGTGACCTAGAGGGCCCGTGACGAATCTATAGGGACCTACTCTCCTTTGGCTCCATGTGGCACCATGCTGTCTTGTCACCATCTCTTGCCTCATCTACTTCAATGATCTCAACTGCTTCTCCAGCTTCTACTCTATCCCCTCTTCAATCTATTTTCCACATAGTATCTGGAGTAATCTTAAAAACAACAACAGTAACAAAAAAAAGCAAACAAGTCATCAGGCCACTTCTCTGCTCTCAACTCTCCAATAGCCTCCTGTTCACTGGAATGAAATCCAAATTCCTTACAAGTCTACAATGCCCCGCTACTTTTTAAAATTTTTTTACTCTTTTTTTTTTTTAAAGATTTTATTTATTTATTTGACAGAGAGAGACACAGCAAGAGAAGGAACACAAGCAGGGGAGTGGGAGAGGGAGAAGCAGGCTTCCCTCCGAGCAGGGAGCCCAATGTGGGGCTCGATCCCAGGACCCTGGGATCATGACCTGAGCTGAAGGCAGACGCTTAACCAACCGAGCCACCTGGGCACCCCAACAATGCCCTGCTATCTTATTGACCATGTCTGGTACCCTCTGTCTTGCCTTTCTCCATTCCAGCCATAGAGGCCTCCTTGCTATTTCTCTAACATGCTGAGCACTCCTTCCCTGGGTCCTTTGCATTTGCTTGTTTTCTCGGTCTGGAACACTCTACCCTCAGACAGCCCCATGGCTCACCCTCTCCCTTCATTCACATCTTTCCTCAGATGTCCTCTTTTTTTTTTTTTTTTTTTAAGATTTTATTTATTTGACAGAGAGAGACACAGCAAGAGAGGGAACACAAGCAGGGGGAGTGGGAGAGGGAGAAGCAGGCTTCCCGCGGAGCAGGGAGCCCGATGCGGGGCTCAATCCCAGGACCCTGGGATCATGACCTGAGCCAAAGGCAGACGCTTAACAACTGAGCCACCCAGGCGCCCCTCCTCAGATGTCCTCTTATCAGAAAGGATTTCCCTGGCCTCTGGCACTTTTCATTCTTTTACTATGCTTTATTGTTCTTTATAGCATCAATCTCGACACCACCTTGTAAAGATTTATTAGTTTATTAGGTTATTGTCTGTCTTCCCCATTAGACTGTAAGTTCCATGAAGGCCAGGCCTTCTTGTTTTATTCAACAATGTGTGGAATAGCACATAGCAGGTGCTCAATAAATTCATTGCTCAATGAATGAACAAATGCATGAGTGAGTGGAGGAAGGTAGGGTCCATGTAACCATATCTTGTTTCTTAGAGAAGTCAGAATCTGGATATTTAGGTGAAATTCTACCAAATATGAACAAAAAAAAAAATTTCCTTGGCCAACCAAAAAAAAAAAAATGCATACAAGGGCCACCAGTTTGAGATCCTTGCTCTAGAGATTTGGGTGCAGTGGGAGCTGTGTTCCCTCATCCTCAGATGGTGCAGTCCCTGCAGGAATCCAGTGTTCCTTTGGGATCCACCAGCCCTTGCATCTCCAGGCTTGGGCCCCATGAGGTACTGTTTGTTGTTACAGAGCAAAGTCATCCAGAGCACTTCGTTCAAAAGGCAGGATGTGGGCTGCAAGCCTCCAGCTCATCGGTTCAAAGGAAATCTACTTCAGCAGCAATGTCTCCTGGGATGTTTTCCCAAGCCTCCCTGGTTGACGATGGGGCCTCTTAAAGGACTAATAATAGACAGGCACGTCCAGTTTCCAAAACATGTCAACCTTGAAAGTGAACACTATTTTTTCCTGCTTACCTTTGAATTACTATGCAGCAGAGGGACATTCTATTATCACAGCCATAGCTCTCCACATACAGCCCAATAATGACTTACCACTCAGTAGCTTCCAGGCGAAATCGTCATGGTGGAACCTGAGCTTCATTAGGCAGAAGTTCAGTGTTGCTGGTTCAGCTCCGCCCTGCTCTCCTTCACGCCTTTATCACCAAGATGCTTTGTAGTCAGGCTGGCCTAATCTCCATTCAACAACAGTGTGACTTTGGGTATATATCTTCATCACTCTGAGCCTCACCGTCCTTATCCATAATGAAAATTCTGGACTTACACAGGGTTGTTATTGCAAGGACTGAGTAGGACAGTGCAAGTACCTGTGACACCTATCTAGCACTTGCTGTTTGGTATTACTGCACACCTACGGGACACAGTGAGCGGCAAGGGGCAATGTCCCTTAAGGGGCATTTCATTCACTCACTCATTCACATAATCACTTACTCATTCAACCAATATTTCCCGAGCTCTGAAGAGTGTCAGGCATGGAGCTTGGCTCGGACAACACAATGGTGAGCGGTGCCTGCTCTCAGAACCTTAGTCTAGTGAAGGAGTTCATAGTCTAATGCAGTGCTGTGTTCCCAGAGGGTGGGGCATGGTGGGGGGGATGTTGAGACAGTGCATAGACAGGGCACTAAATCATACTGTAGTATCTACTCATCTAGACGATTATCATTCTTTTGGTTACCTTTCCGTCCTTCAGATTCCATCCAACTGAGTGTCCCAGTTGGATGTTAGTGTGTCTTTAGCATCTCTCCAATATTTGTTAATCTCTGTCTTTAACAAATAAAAGAAGGCTTCAGATGCAGATGTTTTGGGCAGGTGGCAGCATCTGGAGAGATTTTAAGATTTTACTACTATGGATATCTTTTGCTATTCAAACTCAGAAACCAGATAGACTTTTTTTTTTCCAGATGGTGCACAAATATGACCAGCATTTGTGAAGATGGGCCCCCCATCAGCCCCATTTTACAGTTGAGGAAAGTGAGTTTATTGGGGAGGGGATAGACAGAAGGTGGGAAGTTCTCTTCTAAATGGTTGGGCAAGCAAAGCCAAGAATTGTCTTTGTGGTGGAGAGAGATATTTATACATCGATATATAAAATAAGGTTGCTCCTCCCCTACCTCTGCGGTACGTGTGTGCGTATGTGTGTATAAGTGTGTGAAGCCACAGGCCTTTCCGAATGAGTGACAGCGGGAGCCCATCCCTCCAGGAGACGCGTGCAGAATGACCAATGGGATGGATGCGGGGTGGCTGGGTACCAGTCTCTGCAGAGGCCGGGTGGAATCCGTCGCGCCCACCCTTGCCACCCCCCACCCCCGGTTCCTGTCGGTCCTTCTGCTCCGGGTTCCCCCCGGGGCGCACCCAAGGTGCTCACCTCCTTAATGCAACCCCGGGCCCAGGAGCGGGTAGGGGGCGAGGCTCAGGTCTGACGATCGCACGCTGCGGTCCCCGCGCCGCAGCGCTGCAGCTCTGAACACTTCGCTGGGAGGCCGGCAGCCTCGGGGTGCCAATATGTAAAGCAGCTGGCGGCGCTGGGCGGGGCCTGGGCGCGATGCAAATGAAGGAGGCGGAGCCTGGCCGGGGCTCCGCCTCCCTCCCCCGCAGCTGGGGCCAGCGGTGCCAAGCGCAGCTGGACGAGCGGCGGCAGCTGGGCGAGTGACAGCCCCAGCTCCGCGCGCCGCGGCGGCCAGAGCCGGCGCAGGGGAAGCGCCCGCGGCCCCGGGCGGCAGCAGCGGCCGCCTCCTCGCGCGCTTCCCGGGCCCGCAGCCCGCGGTCCCGCGGCCCCGGGGCCGGCACCTTTCGGCTCCCGCTCCCCGCGCGCAAGATGGCTGACCCGGCTGCGGGGCCGCCGCCGAGCGAGGGCGAGGAGAGCACCGTGCGCTTCGCCCGCAAAGGCGCCCTCCGGCAGAAGAACGTGCACGAGGTGAAGAACCACAAATTCACCGCCCGCTTCTTCAAGCAGCCCACCTTCTGCAGCCACTGCACCGACTTCATCTGGTGAGAGCGCGCCGGCGCAGGGCACCTTCCCGGGGCCCCGAGGGCAGCGCCGCGCGGGCCCCCTCTCTGCGCCCCCGAGGTGGGGGACGAGCACCGCCCGGCCCCGCGTCCCCTGGCTCCCCGCTCCGGACGCCCGGGTGCACAGTCCTGCGGCTTCCCCCGCCCCGGCCCCAGACGGCCGGCCGCGGGGCGCCTCCTGCCCGCTCTTCCTCCCAGCCGCCTCGGGAGCGCCCCGGGGCCGCGGTTTCGGGCGCGGGTTCTCCACCTGCCGGGAGCATGGGGTGGCTGTGTCCCTCCCCGGGAGGGCAGCGCGTCGAGTGCCCGTTCGCCTGGGGTTCCCCGTCTACCCGCCTCCTTCCGGGCTCGCGGCGCCCGCATCCCCTCCCCTGCTTTCCGGGGGCAGCGCTCTGGGTGTCCTCTGTATCTCCTCGCGGCCGTGGGGCATCCTTTCCTCCCCTTCCGTGTCTCCCGCGGTGGAGCCCTGGGTTATCTCTTACTGCGCTTCCCTGCGGGCCAGGATTCCCCTTTGCACTCCTCAGTTTTCCCCTCGCATCACTGCGGAGACTTTACTCCCCCAGCTCTCACCCCGTCCCCCTAGGCTTGGGGAGCCTTTTCTCTCTTCCCAGTGACCCAGGGAACACCACCGCCGCAGGTATCTCTCATCCTCCCTCTGGATGCGTCTTTATCTCTTCTCTTTCCCCAAAGGTACTCGGGCATCTCTGTGGGCAGATCTCCCGCCTGCCCCCCCCACCCCCCGCGACGGAAACGCTCCTCCCCATCCCGCCACCTGGTGGTCGCAGCCTCCTTTCTTCTGCCTTCTGAGGGGAGGTGGGGGTTACAGCCGACCTCCCAGCTGCCCCTTCCCCCAAAGGCGGAAGACTCTCGGGCACCCGCCTGTGGCTAGGAGGTTGCACCTGGGGTAGAGGGGCCGGGGAAAGGGGGGGGTGACGTGGGGGAACTATCTGGTGGCTGGGCCCCTAGGGCTGCCTGACATGCTTCTTTCTGCCTTTGCAGGGGTTTCGGGAAGCAAGGATTCCAGTGCCAAGGTAGGCTGTGGGGCTCTGGGAATGCCCTTTGTGGGAAGAGATGGTGAAAAGGACTTTCTAGAAGTGACTGAGTTAGGCAGAGAGTGAAGGAATCACATTTGTCAGAGTGACCTGCCAAGCTGGGAGTGCACCACCACAAAAGGGCCCTTTTAAGGGGTGTGTGTATATGGGGGCAGTGATGCTCCATCCAGGAAAGGTGGGGGGAGCCAGAGGCCCTACCTGCCAAGGAAGGGCATGCACCCTTTCTTCCTTCCCAGCAGCAGGAGTCAAATCCTGTCTCCTGAACCTATCCTGCTTGGCCAATCCTGCTTCTGGAGGAAGTGTCCCTAGGGGCCATTTTTGGGAGCACACTTCCTCTCCCTAATTCCTTCTCACTTGCCCTTTCTCATCTCACAGAGTAAGGTTCTGCCTCTTCCCTTGCTTCAAAGAAGTCTCCGCAGGTGGCTGCTGCGTCTGCATAAGGTGCATCCCCTAGAAAGGGGACTGTGCTTGTCCCCTGGGCCTCCTCCCTCTCTGCAAGAGGTCGTTCCAGATGGGGTGCCTCTCAGACACTGGTTCAAATTGCCTTTTCTAGCTTCTGGCTGCATACAGGAAGGACTCCAAGTGACTGGCCTCCTGGGTCCTTGCACCTGGTTTGAGATCCTTGACCCCAGCCAGGGACGCCCAACCTAGTGCTGACTTTTAATCATGTGTAAGGTGGCCTTGGCTGTCTCTGGTTGCGAATTCGCTCTCCAGGGTCAAATTACCTGTGAACTTGTTTAGCCCTTAGACTGTCAAACATTTTTTGAATTTGATGTCAACGTTTCGAACTGGGAGATTTTATGCAGATACCAGAATTTCCAGCTTTTGGTCCTGGAGATTTGGTCCTGCTTTCTTGTTGGAACAATCCTTTGGAGCTATTTTCATAGCCGGGACACGCATTCACCGTTCCATCCCAGTCCTTCCCCACTGGGCCTGCTTCACCCATGTCTGGCTCCTGTAGGCATTTGAATTTGCAACTTCTGTCCTGGAAAGTTTTTTTTTTTCTCCCCAATTTCTGGCCAGGTGTGGTTGAGTTTGGTGGGAAATGCCTCATTTCTGGGGTGTGTTGTAGGGGCACATTCACTGCTTCTGGGGAGCTGGGTCTGATCAGGAGAAGAAAGCATTAAGTGTTCAAGAGTCAGAGATGTGACTTAGCTGGGTCTGTTTTGTTGTAGCATTCCCACCCTCCAGGGAGAAGTCAAGTGATCCGTGGGGAGTGTGGGTGGCTGTGTGGCACTGCCACCTCCTGAGACTCGTGGGCTCCTTCCCTCAGCCTCCCTCACCTGAGGTCCAGGGAGGAGCTGGCCCATCTTGTGAACCTTGTAGACCTGCCCAGCCTCTCCTACCAATATGTGGAGCCCCAGTCTCACGATTCCCAAATCCCTTTTACTATTTTTTTTCAGCTTTATATATTCTTATTTTTTATTTTATTATTATTTTAACTGGAGGATTGTTACCATACAGTGTTACATTAGTTTCAGGTCTGCCCAAATCCCTTTAAAGTGGCAACAGCTTAGACCCTGTTGCAAACAGATTGTTTCCTAGAACTTTGGCCCCTGAAGCACAATACCAATCGTGTCTTCGTGCTGGAATGTGTAGATGATCTTTGAGGTTACCTTTCACTTTCATGAATCAGTTTCTGGCTCTGTCGCTTGCTGGGGTCAGGGGTGAGTTTTGAACTTCTTTTTTTTTTTTTT